GTACAAATTTATTTTAATTAAGGGAAGTCATGTTTTGCTGATTTTGAATATATTTTTATTTGAAAATAGAAATCAAAATTTAAAAAAATAAATAAAACTTATAGGACAATAAGTTAACGAAGGCTGTGTTATGTATTGAGAAAGAAGAATAAAAAAACTGAAAAAAAAGATATTTGTGCAACATTTCCATTTAGTTAGTAGTTTAAAATTTAACATAAAAATATACATACATTGATTTTATTTTTATTAGAAAAAGTATCATTTAACATTTACTTACCATTTATTTTAAAAAAAAGAAATAGTTTAAAATCACCAGATAGTTTAAACCATTTTAAAATAACCTTTTGAGTTATTTTATAAATAATTTCTTTTAAATATTTTTGCTGTTGTATATCATTGGAAACCTGTACTTTAGCTTGTTTTAGCTCTATATATATGTTTTTCATCTTCCTGTGGTTGTTTTCATTTAATATACATATATATTAAACATTTATTTATTTATTTATACACCCAACATTAATGATTGTTTTTAATTATACAGACATTTAAAGGATTTGTTTGACAAAACATTCAATATTTATTGTATACATCAAGAATTTCTATAAAGTTCTTCTTACATTTTTAGTTGTATGTTGTATTTGGGTTTCTTTTGTTCTTTTTATAACTATACAAGGTTTTTTTTCAATATTTGTCGGTTTTATTTTGTTCTTGTTTGATGGAGAAGTAAATGAAACGCTAAAAGTTTTGTAAACATAACTTCACATATTCCCAGGTAATAGAATATTTCCCAGGTAAAAATAATTGAAAAGCTAGAAAATTTTAATATTTGTGAGGTTAAGTTGTTAGAAATTCTTGAACTTCCACTTGAAAGTTAAAACTATTCTAACTATCGAGTTGGAAAAGACATTCGAATGCTTCCAGTTGCCGTTTATATTTTAAGCTTCACCATCGCTTATTGTAAATGATCTTAAGTCTTCTATTGATGACTTTCAAGAGCAACTTTATTGTTGGAATTTGGAATTCGTTTTGAAAGTAAACATTTAAAAATTTGTTTCATAATTTGTATTACGAAACCTTTAACTTTAGAGATAAGGTAAAAATAGTACAATCGAAAGTGATCGTGATATCAAACACAATTTAAATGAAAATTTTGAATGCTAAAGAGAGAGAAAAGATATAGAGGAAACGGAATCTGTCAACGGAGAGGAATTATAATCTCCTACATCCATTGCGAATGAACTAAGAAATATACTCAAACTTTATATTACAAACTGTTTTCCAAAAAGAGTAATTTTAAGAGTTAAACATTTTTATATATGGATTAGTGTCTAGTTAAACTCTATCTATCGAGTTAGAAAAGGCATTTGTATATTTCCAGATATTTTGGTCACTATCACTCCAGATAAATGATCTTAAGCCATCCATTGTTGACTTTTTAGCGAAATTTATTGTACTAGGAATTCGTTTTAAAAGTAATCTACTCGCTAGTCTATGGACTGTAGGTTAGTCTATTCACTAGCCTATAGACAGAACTTTTGACTAGTCTATTGTGTAGACTTTTGACTAGTCTATTGAGTAATCTACTGTATAGTCTTTTCTACTTCTACTGATTAGTGTATTGACTAAAATTTTGTCTGGTCTAATGTCTATCCTGTTGGCTAGTCTATCAAGTATTCTACTGTATAGGCTATTGGCTATAGATTAGTCTATTTACTAGCCTATAGACTGAACTTTTGACTAGCCTTTTGGCTGGTATATTGACCTGACTTTTAAGCAGCAGAACACTCAAATGTCTATTGTCTAGTATTTTGAATACTCTACTGACTATGGCTAGTCTATTGACTGAACTTTTGTCTGGTCTATTGACTAGTCTATCAAGAAGTCTATTAGCTAGTATATATACTATGAATTGGTCTTTTGACTGGTAATGTTAACTATTCTATTAACTAATCTATTGACTAGAATGTTAACTGGCCTATTTAATAGTATATTAACTATTCTATGGACTATATATTAGTCTTTTGAATAGTCTATATATAGGCTGTACTTTTGACCGGTCTATTGACTGAACTTTTGACTGGTCTATTGAATAGTCTATTATCTATTCCACGGACTAGTTATAGACAGATCAGTCTATTGACTGAACTTTTGACTAGCCTGTTGGCTAGTCTATTGACTATAGATTAGTCTCTCTAGTCTATTGACCAGTCTCTCTAGTCTATTGACCAGTCTCTCTAGTCTATTGACTAGTCTCTCTAGTCTATTGACTAGTCTCTCTAGTCTATTGACTATAGATTAGTCTATGCTCTAGCCTATAGACAGAATTTTTGACTACACTGCTGAATAGTCTGTTGGCAGGTATATTGACTAGTCTTTTCAGTGATCTACTGTCTAGTCTATTGAATTTATCTATTGACTATTGGATTAGTCTATTGACTGAACTTTTGTCTGGTCTATTGAATAGTTCATCAAGAAGTCTATTGCCTATTATATAGACTATATATTTGTCTATTGATTAGTCTGTTAACTAGTCTATTGACTAGCCTATTGACCAACTATTCTGTGGACTATATATTAGTCAATGGACTAGTCTTTAAATTAACTTTATACTGGTCTATAGAATAGACTATTATGTATTCTTTGGACTAGTTTATAGACTGAACTGACTCTCTAGCGATTACACTTCTGGCTACTCTACTGACTAGAAATTAATATATTTTCTAGGTTTATAGATTGAACTTTTGACTACAGTATTGTGTAAACTACTGTCTATAGACTGATCAGTTGACTTAACTGTTTTTAGTCTAATCTTTTAACTAGTTTATTACTAGTTTATTGACTGTTCTATTGACTAGTTTAATAACTACTCCATTGAATAGCCTATTAACTGGTCTACTGACTAGTTAATAGACTAGTTGACGACTGATATATAGAGTTATCTATTGACTAGTTTATTGCTTGGTGTATTGACTGGTGCATTGACTAGTCTATTAACCTTTTTGTTGGCTAGTCTATTGACCTTTTTGTTGACTAGTATGTTGTCTGATCTGTTAACTAGTCTGTTGCTAGTTTGTGGACTGTTTTATTGGGTAATATACAGACTAGTGCTATTGACTAGATTAATGACTGGTCTACTGGCAAGTCCATAAAATAGTTTGTTGACTGGTCTATGTAATAATGTATAGACTTGTTCATAGACTGTTCTATTGACTAGTCCATAGACTGATACTTTGACTAGTCCATAGATTAATCTACTGACTAGTCCATAGACTGATCTATTGACAAGTCTATAGACTGATCTATCGACAAGTCCATAGACTGATCTATTGACAAGTCCATAGACTGATCTATTGACAAATCCATAGACTGATCTGTTGACTAGTCCATAGACTGATCTATTGACTAGTTTGTTGACTGATCTATTGACTAGTTTGTTGACTGCTCTACTCACTAATCTATCGACAAGTCCATATACTGATCTATTGACAAATCCATAAACTGATCTGTTGACTAGTCCATACACTGATCTGTTGACTAGTCCATAGACTGATCTATTGACTAGTTTCTTGACTGCTCTACTAACTAGTCTATTGACTACTCTACTGCCTGGTCTTTTGATTAATCTATAGACTGGTTTATTGACTAGTTCATCTTCAATACTGCTTTTTAATATAAAACAGTTTAGAATATTTCCTCTAGAAAAGTTTGATTTTAACAATAAATTTATTATACAAATATTGGGAATACTAGAAGAAAAACCTCCCACATATAGCCGACAAACTAAAAGAATCCATCAGCCATCTTATTATAAAAAAATTAAAGTTTTTTTTTATTAAAAAAACTACTAGGGAAAACATTTATCCTTGACATGCTTATAATGAAACAAGGGGTGTAAAAAAAAATCTCTTTTAAAATGTGTTTACAATTTTAACACAGAAACATACATAGAAAAAGGAAAACAAACAAACATTTTGTACAAAATGTTAAAAGAAATTAATTAATTCATACATTATACTAACATATCGGAAACAGAAAATAAAAAGGACATTTAAGGTTGTTTTTTTATAGTTTTTTTTTCATTATGTTTTAACATAGTTTATTTAAGGATTTAGCGGATTTTTTTTTAGTTTCATTATTATTGAATAATCATAATAAACGTTAATAGAATAGGATGTGTGTTTGTATTTTTTTTTTTTTTTGATGAGAGAATGAAAGAATTTATGAGTTTATTTTTTTATACTTTTTTTTTTCTCTTGTTATTACAAATATAACAAAGACAACAACAAAAGAAAGAGTTACACCCAGTAAATAAGAAAGAAAAAAAGAAATAGAAGAAAATAGACAATAAAGGAAAATAAAAAAACTATACATTTATAAACACTTTATAAAGTTGTTAATTAACGTTAAAAGAAGTAAATATGTTAATAAAAAAATACATTTATTTTATGTATAAAAAAAATATTTAACATGTAATTTTTTTTAGTTGATTTTTTAGTTTATTTTTTTTTTTTAATAATTTTGCAAATACAAAAAGTATGGGCGAAAAAAATGTTCAAACTAAAGGAATGCAGAAAAAAAAAACTAAAGTAAAAGAAAACAATTTTGGTTTTTGGGTTTTTTTGTTTTTTTGGTTATTATAAAAAAACAAAAATGAAATTATTTATTAAAAAAAATAATAAATAATATTAATGCTCTGCCTAACAAAAAAAAGAAAAAGAAAAATAAAATATATAATGATTTTATAAATTTTCTCGATATTTTTTTTTAAATATATAAAGTTTTTTTTTTTTGTTGCAAACAAAGAAGTAGAAGAAAAAAAGAAAAATAAGTAAGTTTATGGTAAAAATATACAATAATGAAATATATTTTTTTTATAAATATATAGATCATAAAAACAGTGAATTTGTTTATTTTGTTTCAGATTTGTTTTCTTGGTTTTTTTGTATTTTTTTTTTTGCACTTGTTTTGTTTTTATTGCTAAAATTGGTTGTAGCTGTTGTTGTTGTTATACATTTTATTAAAGGTAGAAAAAATTTATTTTAACAAAACTAAAAAGGCTGACGGGGGGAAGTTGTTGTATTAGTAAAAGCAAAAAACCAACAAAAAAAAGTAAAGAATTTAGAAATTTTATAAATAGATTTTAGGAATTTTAAAGATTTGTTTTTGCGTTTCCTATTTGTTTCAAATTTTTCTAATTTCTTTAACTAAACCTTGTGGCCTTGTTCTTACCATCCCCCACCTCCCCCTGCCATAAGCCTTTTAAATAACACATTTTTATTTTGTTTGTTTAAGGGGGGAAACAACCTGCTCTCTGTTTGCTTAGCTCCAAAAGTTATTCCTGCTGTTGCTGTTGTTAATAAATATTGACCATGTATTTTATTATTATTGTTGTTGTAGAAGATCCAAGACTATTGGTTTTGTTTCTTAGCTGTTGTTGTTGTTGTTGGTTTTATTAAAAGTTCTTTATGCTTTTCTTTTATTTATAATTTAGGTTTTGTTTTTACTTTTGTTTAATTAAAATATGTTTTTGTTTTTACTGCTGAATTTTTTGGATTTTCTTGTTTTTTTTTTTTTTGTTTAAAAATATTTTGTTTTTGTTTTTAAATGTTCTTGTTGTTGTTGTTTTTAATATTTCATAGTCATTAAAAAGGAAACAATTTAGTTTGGTTGTTAGTTGTCACCACCTTCTTGTGGTTCATCACCATCACCTTGGGTGTCTGAAGTCCAGAGGGTAAGGTTGTCTCTCAACAATTGCATAATGAGTGTTGAGTCCTTGTATGAGTCCTCATTAAGGGTGTCGAGTTCAGCTATCGCATCATCGAAAGCCTAAATTTTGTTTTCAAAAAATAAAAAGAAAAATTAAATATTAGTTTTGTTAAAAAAAGAAAAAAGTTTGAGTAAAACAAAGGTTTGATGCGCCAAATATAAAAGAAATATTTCAAAACAAGCTCTTTTTTTTTGTTGGTTTATATTATTACATACATACGTATGTATGTGTGTGTTTGTATGTAATCTTTTTGTAGCAAACTACACCTAAGAAATTCATTAGTATTTGTATTTATTTATATTAAAAAAAAATGCATTTATTTTTTATTTTTTAAAGGTTTCAAAATTTTATTTAAATTCAATTCATCTTTTTAGCTTATGTACGAAAAAATTCGATTATAATTTCGAAAATTCGAATTTAAGTTCGAAAATGTTTAAAAACTGTTAAAATGACTTTGTAAATCATGGTGGTTTAATAAAAATATAATTTTAGTTTTGATTTTAAATTCATTTCTTCTATTTTCCACTTTCATACTTTAAAATTTCGAAAATAATTTGAAAATTTTGAGAAATTTTGAAAAATTTCCTGCATTTTATCAAATTTTCATGAAATTTTATGTATTTAGCACTATTGATATAGTAAATAAGCTTTTTTGGCTATGTTCGAAAATTCGAAATTAATTTCGAAAATTTGAACTTAAGTTCGAAAATTTTTTTTAACTTAAAATGTTATGTAAATCAATAGGATTCATTAAATTATAAATTAAGTGTTAATTTATAACAATTTCTTACATTTTTTCCATTCCAAACTTCAAAATTTTGAAAATAATTTGAAAATTTTAAGGAATTTTAAAAATTTTCGATGAATTTTATAAAATTTTCATGAAATTTTAAGTATTTAGCACTATTGAAATAGAAAATAAGCTTTTTTGGTTATGTTCGAAAATTCGAAATTAATTTCGAAAATTCGAAGTTAAGTTCGAAAATTTTTTTTAACTTAAAATGTTATGTAAATCAATAGGATTCATTAAATTATAAATTAAGTGTTAATTTATAACAATTTCTTACATTTTTTCCATTCTAAAATTCAAAATTTTGAAAATAATTTGAAAATTTTGAGAAATTTTGAAAAATTTTCTGCATTTTATCAAATTTTCATGAAATTTTAAGTATTTAGCACTATTGATATAGAAAATAAGCATTTTAGTTTATGTTCGAAAATTCGAAATTAATTTCGAAAATTCGAACTTAAGTTCGAAAAATTTTTTTAAACTTAAAATGTTATGTAAATCAGGAGGATTCATAAAATTATAAATTAAGTATTAATTTATAACAATTTCTTACATTTTTTCCATTCCAAACTTCAAAAATTTGAAAATAATTTGAAAATTTTAAGGAATTTTAAAAATTTTCGATGTATTTTAAAAATTTTCGATGAATTTTATAAAATTTTCATGAAATTTTAAGTATTTAGCACTATTGATATAGAAAACAAGCTTTTTTGGTTATGTTCGGAAATTCGAAATTAATTTCGAAAATTCGAACTTAAGTTCGAAAATTTTTTAAAACTGTTAAAATGATCTCTCAATCATGAGGATTCATGTAAATATAATTTTAGTTTAGAATTTAAGCCAATTTCCTTCTTTTTTCACTTTCGAACTTCAAAATTTTGAAAATTATTTGAAAATTTTCATAAATTTTAAAAAATTAGCATGAGTTTTAAACAGTTTTCTCGAAATTTAATGTATATAGCAAAGTTGCTATAGAAAATAGGCTTTTTTGGCTTATGTTCGATAATTCGAACTTATGTTCGAAAAGTTTTTAAAGCTGTAAAAATGTACTTTAATCATGAGCATTCATGAAAATATAACTTTTCGCTTAAATTGAGTTTTATTTCTTCCTTTCTTTTTTCAATTTCGACTTTCAAATTTTTTAAAAATTCTAATAATTTTGAAACCATTAAAATCTATTTATTTTATATTAAAAAAATTAAACACGTTAACATCATCATTTTAAAATTTTCTTCCAAAAAAAATCCATTTAACATTTCTCCAAATATAAATAGTTTATAAAATGGAAAAAAGGGGCATGGTCGGTAATAAAAAAACAAGGCTTCTTATGAAAATCGAAAAGCATACTAACACGTAAAACAAAATTATAACACCAGACCTTATAGCTTAAAGGGAATAACAACAATTATTTGTTAAACAATTTATATTAAAAAAGAACATGCTTTTTGTTAGAGATCAGAGGATCGTTACATATTTAGGGCAAACAACAAAAACGAGTCCCAGAAAACGGGTATGGGTTTCTTATAGGGACTTAAAATTGGTTAATAACAATACAACATAAAGCAAAAATAAAAAAACATTAACAAAAGATTTGTTTATATATGTATAATAAAAAGGGACAAGGACTTTATGGGTCAGCATGGTAACAGTTTAGTTTCTCAAGCCTAAAGAAAGCATATATTAGTTCCTCTTTGGCACAATCAGACGTGCATATATAGATATTCATCAAAGCAATGTTTATAGTAGTAGTAGTAGAAATAGTATTGAAACCTGTTTAGCTAAATGACAAGCCCGCGCTGGTGAATTGATAATTTCATAATAGAAGACGGAAAAGTTGAGAGCAAGACCTAATCTGATGGGATGTGTAGGCTGCATTTTGTTTTTGGCTATATCGAAAGCCTCCTGATAAGCCTTTTTCGAATCCTCAACCACGGCTACAAATGTTAAAAAAAAGAAGAAAATAAAAAACAAAAAATATATATTTATGAAAAAAAAAAAAAAAACAAACAAAACAAATGTTTGCAACTATCCCTAAACTAATTTCATAAATTCCTAGCTAACTACCTAGAAGTATATATTAACCGCCTACTAAATGCTCCCTCCCCTTTAACGAAGATGATGATTTGCGTGTTTAAATTTTCTTTTTGTTTTTGTTTTATATACACATATTTTTTTAATAAAAGTTTTGAAATATTTCTTTTTATTGGCCACTTAAACCTCTTTGCATGGATTTTAACGCTATATTAACCTGTTTGGCCAATTGGCAAGCTTTGTCTGGAGAGTTCAGAATCTCGTAGTAGAAGACTGAGAAATTAAGTGCAAGACCCAATCTGATGGGATGTGTTGGTTGCATTTTACCCTTGCTAATTTCAAATGCATCCTGGTAAGCGGTTTGGGAGTCGTCAACAACGGCTGTTTATTTTTTTTTTTAAATTTTTAGAAAAAATTTTATCGATTTAATAAAAAATTTTTGTTTAAAGGTTATTAAAAAGGACTTAAACATATAGTTCTTATTCAATTCCATATTAATATTAATTGTCTTTAAAGTAAAACTTTTAAACAAATACTTACTGTTGCGTGCATCTCCTGTGGCTACCTCAGCTAAATACCTGTAATAATCTCCCTTCATTTTTAGATAGAAAACCTTACTTTCTGGATTGCTGGCTTTGGGAATAAGGTATTTGTCAAGAAGACCCTGAAAATAGAAAAAAATATATATAAACATAAAATTAATCAAGTGTATTTAAGCATTAAATATTGATTTCTTTCTGCAAATAGTGGAATAAAAAAACTCGCACAAAGTAACAGAGATGGAAAACCTAAATTTTAAATTAGTACATACTAACATATAAAAGAGTACTTTTTAGGTTTTAAAGTATTAAACTAATATTAGACTATAGACTAGACTAAAGATTTGACTATAGACTAGACTATAGACTAGACTATAGACTAGACTATAGGCTAGACTATAGACTAGACTATACACTAGACTATAGACTAGACTATAGACTAAACTATAGACTAGACTATACACTAGACTATAGACTAGACTATAGACTAAACTATAGACTAGACTATAGATTTGACTATAGACTAGACTATAGACTAGACTATAGACAAGACTATAGACTAGACTTTAGAATAGACTATAGACTAGACTATAGACTAGACTAAAGGCTAGACTATAGACTAGACTATAGACTAGACTATACACTAGACTATACACTAGACTATAGACTGGACTATAGACTAGATTATAGACTAGACTATAGACTAGACTATAGACTAGAATATAGACTAGACTATAGACTAGACTATAGACTAGACTATAGACTAGACTATACACTAGACTATACACTAGACTATAGACTAGACTATACACTAGACTATACACTAGACTATAGACTAGACTATAGACTAGACTATAGACTAGACTATAGACTAGACTATAGACTAGACTATAGACTAGACTACAGACTAGATTATAGACTAGACTATAGACTAGACTATAGACTAGACTATAGACTAGACTATAGACTAGACTATAGACTAGACTATACACTAGACTATAGACTAGACTATACACTAGACTATAGACTAGACTATACACTAGACTATACACTAGACTATAGACTAGACTATAGACTAGATTATAGACTAGACTAGACTAGACTAGACTATAGACTAGACTATAGACTAGACTATAGACTAGACTACAGACTAGATTATAGACTAGACTATAGACTAGACTATAGATTAGACTATAGACTAGACTATAGACTAGACTATAGACTAGACTATAGACTAGACTATAGACTAGACTATAGACTAGACTAGACTATAGACTAGACTATAGACTAGACTAGACTATAGACTAGACTAGACTATAGACTAGACTAGACTATAGACTAGACTATAGACTAGACTAGACTAGACTATAGACTAGACTATAGACTAGACTATAGACTAGACTAGACTAGACTAGACTATAGACTAGACTAGACTATAGACTAGACTAGACTATAGACTAGACTAGACTATAGACTAGACTAGACTATAGACTAGACTATAGACTAGACTAGACTATAGACTAGACTAGACTATAGACTAGACTAGACTATAGACTAGACTAGACTATAGAGTAGACTATAGACTAGACTATAGACTAGACCATAGACTAGACTATAGACTAGACTATAGACTAGACTATAGACTAGACTATAGACTAGACTATAGACTAGACTATAGACTAGACTAGACTAGACTATAGACTAGACTATAGACTAGACTATAGACTAGACTATAGACTAGACTATAGACTAGACTATAGACTAGACTATAGACTAGACTATAGACCGGACTGTAGACTATACTATAGACTATACTATAGACATGACTGTAGACTATACTATAGACATGACTGTAGACTATACTATAGACTATACTATAGACACGACTGTAGACTAGACTATAGCGTAGACTACAGACTAGACTATAGGCTAGAGTAGACTAGACTATAGATTAAACTAGACTAGTCTGTAGACTAGATAATAGGCTAGACTATTAGACTATGTTAGAAAATGTGCTGGGAGTACCGAATTATCCATACCTGCAAAGTAATATAAATATCCTCTTCATAAAGCTACACTTATAGATGAAAGAGTAAGGGGTTAATGGGTATAGGAAAAAAACATTATTGTACAGCTCATCTAAAGGATAATAAGGCTCATATAAATGGGGTAGGTGTTGGGTTTGTAAGAATGTTAATTTTCAACTGTAGGTTTTATTAAGGTCATGTGGGTATTTTTTTTTTATCTCTATATGTATGTTCTTTTATATCTGAACAAGTATGTATATTAATAATCTGTAGTTATAATCATAATAACACTAAAAGAGTACATTTATGTACATGGTCATAGGGTATACATATGTTGTTTCCTCTTGTTGCACTTTTACTAGTATAATTACATCCTTGTTTTAAGAGCCGACAATTCATCCACGAGTAATTAGCTGTTGTCATACAAAATTAATAATGCGTAATAATAGTAGATCTGTGAAATGAGTTAGTGGGTGGAACTTTGGTAAAGGCTTCTATGAAGATTTCGATATATCAAATATCTGTCTATAGCACGTTCTACCTATACCTTCATATCATGAGGATTCATGAAACTGTAATTGAGTTCAATTTCTAACATTTTCCACTTTGGAACATACAAATTTTTGAAAATAATTTGACACTATTTATCACATTAAAAGTATTTTCGCAATTCTGATCGAATTTTGTAGCAAAAAGGAAAACATGGTATAAAAACCACAAAAACAAATTTTTCGAATAAAAACAATTAAGAAACTAATATGATTTCATTTAGAAATAAAAACCAAAATTATAAATAACAAAATTTTCCATCTCCTACTGTGGTCAGACAATTAAATTTATATATATTTCCAAACAAACCTTTGCACCTTAATTATCAATCAATCAACAAAATTCTTTATTATCGATTATAAACAGAAAAAAAAAAATAATTAAAATTTTAACTTTCACGAAGGCTCAGTAAGGAAAATTTTTAGATATACAGCTGACATCCAAAATGAAAACATTATTATTCAATTTAAAATAGATTTATTGATTGAAAACTCATCATAGTGACAATATAATACAAAAATAATTCAAAGGATGATGAGAAACACCCCACCCACACAGAATATTAAAAAAAAACAAATCCAAAAAGCCACATGTATTTTTATATTTAAATATGTATGTATAATACTTATATTATTTTCCCATTATGCCTTAGCAAGGCAGGAGTATGTATGTACATGATCAGGTTTATTCAAGTGTGTAGGTATATTCCCCACACGGGTAGTAAAAAAAAAGAAACACACACAGTAATACTTAGATTTATTTACTATATATATTATAAACAAAAATGTATTGCTTAGTTAGCTTGTGGTTAGTTTATTATAAACATATTTATTAACCCACAAAGCCACAACCAACCACCCTCAAATAAACCTGCTTTTCCTCCCTTTATGTCTTCTGTGTTTAAATAAGAAAATTTAATATGGTCAAAAGGGATGTCTAACACAGTCTACTTGCTACTTAAATAGTTTTATTTGCTGTGGTCGGTCTTCAGTAAAGAGTAAGTTATATAAAATGTCATTAAAGAGTTTTATCGTTTAAGAACTTAAAACTTTATTAGACTATTGGCAAACACGAAAAAGTACATGAAGTATATAAGTTTATGAAGTATAATATTTGCCATAAGAATAATATTTCAAATTGTTTTCCTTCTTTAAATAATAACCCAGGAAAACCAATTAATTTGTTCTAGAACGAATGCAAACAAACTGAACTATAACTGAACTAGAGCTGAACCAGAACTAAACTAAACTAGAACTTAACTAGAACTCAACTAAAAGTGAAGTAGAACTGTACTAGAACTTAATTTGAGCTTAACTAGAACTGAACTAGAACTAAATTAAAACTGAACCAAAAGTGAACTAGAACTAAACTAGAACTGAACTAGAACTGAACTAGAACAGGACTAGAACTGAACTAGAACTGAACTAGAACTGAACTAGAACTGAACTAGAACTGAACTAGAACTGAACTAGAACTGAACTAGAACTGAACTAGAACTGAACTAGAACTGAACTAGAACTGAACTAGAACTGAACTAGAACTGAACTAGAACTGAACTAGAACTGAACTAGAACTGAACTAGAACTGAACTAGAACTGAACTAGAACTAGGACTGAACTAGAACTGAACTAGAACTGAACTAGAACTGAACTTGAACTTGAACTTGAACTAGAACTAGAACTGAACTAGAACTGAACTAGAACTGAACTAGAACTGAACTAGAACTGAACTAGAACTGAACTAGAACTGAACTAGAACTGAACAAGAACTGAACTAGAACTGAACTAGAACTGCACTAGAACCGAACTAGAACCGAACCAGAACTGAACTGAACTAAAACTGAAGTATGTATGACTGAACTAGAATTGAACTAGAACTGAACTATATATATATTCATGTGTTCTAGAACAACTAGTTGTGAAACTAATAAAGTTTTTCCTGCAACGTCGAATTAAAAACTTTGTATTTATTTTTAAACTGAACTAGAACTGAACTAGAACTGAACTAGAACTGAACTAGAACTGAACTAGAACTGAACTAGGACTGAACTAGAACTGAACTAGAACTGAACTAGAACTGAACTTGAACTAGAACTAGAACTGAACTAGAACTGAACTAGAACTGAACTAGAACTGAACAAGAACTGAACTAGAACTGAACTAGAACTGCACTAGAACCGAACTAGAACCGAACCAGAACTGAACTGAACTAAAACTGAAGTATGTATGACTGAACTAGAATTGAACTAGAACTGAACTATATACATATATATTCATGTGTTCTAGAACAACTAGTTGTGAAACTAATAAAGTTTTTCCTGCAACGTCGAATTAAAAACTTTGTATTTATTTTTAATTTTATCCTAATAGTTTTGTACTTACCAAAACTTCATAACAGATTTCCCTAAGTTCCTTCTCTACACGTTCTCTGTACTCGCGGGCGAGCTGTTGTTTTCTGGCGGAGGCTTCGGTTTTCTGCTCAATGGAGGAAATTACTCTCCACGATGATCTAAAAAGGGAATAACATAAACAAATAATGAAATTTTAATGAAATCACACTTTTACAAAAAAGAATGGAATCAGATTTGAAAATTCGATATTCGAAACGTGTTTTTTAAGTGTTTTTAAATATTGGATATTCGAATTCAGAATTTTATATTTTTTTGATTAAGTTTATAGTTTGTTATTGTAACCTACCTGCGGGCACCAACAACATTTTTGTAGGCAACTGAGAGTAAATTTCTTTCCTCATTTGACAGTTCAACACCGGTTTCTGTGACTGATTTCATAGCTTGAGCCATGTCATCGTATCTAAAATAGAGAAAAATATGAATTTTATAAATTAGGGAAAGCCTATGTGAGAAACAAGTTAAAAAAAAACTTACCTTTCAGATTGTTCGGCCAATTTTGCCTTTTGGACCAATTCCTCTTTATCGACTGTTGACATTTTGATGTGTTTTTGTTTTGTTTTTTTTACTTAGAGTTTACAAAAATTAAAACGTTTGTTTTTATTGGGTAAACGGTTGCCCCACAAAATTTTTTGAATACAATACGAGCCTAGAGAGAGATTATAATTATAAGGAATCTAAAACTGAATGCGTCGCTCACAGTATGACTAAATCTAAAATAAAAAAAAAGAGAATAAAAAATTTTAAATTAGTTACATGTTTAAAAGTAGTAGATGTTTTTAATTGTTTAAATATTTGTTAATTTAATTATACATTTAAAATTTTATTATTATGAGATAATTGTTTAACTTTTTTGTTCATTAATAGCGATAATTGTTTAAATTTTATTTAATTATTATTGATTTCAAAGATAAAGTAAAACATTTTTATAGGTTTTAACTTTGGAATTAAAGAAAAACAACTTAATACAAGACATTATTAACTAAAAATATAAAATATCGTCATATTATGTATACGATATATATTTGTTTGTAGTATGTAATCCCCTAAAGAAAAAACATCATGACCAATCAACAAGAAAACAATTCAAAGATGGAGAAGCAGTTGCAGTAAACTGTAGATGAAATGAGTCATATAAAATGTGTGTACAATGTACATTGTATTTGAAATGTCGACAGGAAAAAAAAACAATTGTAATACAAAAGAAATTTTGTAAATTAAATACAATTAGTTATGAAGAGAATTTAGAGAAGGAAAGCAAAACAACAAAACTTTATGAGTAAGAATTGTATACAAAAATTTGTTTGTGTGTTCAAATGAAAATATTTGAAAGATTAAAGACTCTAAAGTAAAATGTCTTTTATGCAAGATAGTGCTATAGGGTGAGTTAGACTGATCCAGACTGATCTATATCCAGATCTATAGACCAGACTATAGACTGATCTAAAGAGCAGACTATAGACTGATCTATAGTCCAGACTATAGACTGATCTATAGTCCAGACTATAGACTGATCTATAGTCCAGACTATAGACTGATCTATAGTCCAAACTTTAATAGACTGATCTATAGTCCAGACTATAGACTGATCTATAGTCCAGACTATAGAATGATCTAGTTCAGTTCTATTTCAGTTCTAGTTCCAGTTCTAGTTCAGTTCTAGTTCAGTTCTAGTTCAGTTCTAGTTCAGTTCTAGTTCAGTTCTAGTTCAGTTCTAGTTCAGTTCTAGTTCAGTTCTAGTTCAGTTCTAGTTCAGTTCTAGTTCAGTTCTAGTTCAGTTCTAGTTCAGTATTAGTTCAGTTCTAGTTCAGTTCTAGTTCAGTTCTAGTTCAGTTCTTTCAGTTCCAGTTCAATTCTAAGTCAGTTCACAGTTCTAGCAGTTCTAGTTCAGTTCTAGTTCAGTTCTAGTTCAGTTCTAGTTCAGTTCTAGTTCAGTTCTAGTTCAGTTCTAGTTCAGTTCTAGTTCAGTTCTAGTTCAGTTCTAGTTCAGTTCTAGTTCAGTTCTAGTTCAGTTCTAGTTCAGTTCTAGTTCAGTTCTAGTTCAGTTTAGTTCAGTTCTAGTTCAGTTCTAGTTCAGTTCTATTTCAGTTCCAGTTCATTCAGTCAGTTCTAGTCAGTTCTAGTTCAGTTCTAGTTCAGTTCTAGTTCAGTTCTAGTTCAGTTCTAGTTCAGTTCTAGTTCAGTTCTAGTTCAGTTCTAGTTCAGTTCTAGTTCAGTTCTAATTCAGTTCTATTCAGTTCTAGTTCAGTTCTAGTTCAGTTGTAGTTCAGTTCTAATTCAGTTCTAATTCAGTTCTAGTTCAGTTCTAGTTCAGTTCTAGTTCAGTTCTAGTTCAGTTCTAGTTCAGTTCTAGTTCAGTTCTAGTTCAGTTCTAGTTCAGTTCTAGCTTTTATCTAGTCAGTTCTAGTCAGTTCTAGTTCCGTTCTAGTTCAGTTCTAATTCAGTTCTAATTCAGTTCTAATTCAGTTCTAGTTCAGTTCTAGTTCAGTTCTAGTTCAGTTCTACTTCAGTTCTATTTCAGTTCTAGTTCAGTTCTAGTTCAGTTCTATTTCAGTTCTAGTTCAGTTCTAGTTCAGTTCTAGTTGAGTTCTAGTTCAGTTCTAGTTCAGTTCTAGTTCAGTTCTAGTTCAGTATTAGTTCAGTTCTAGTTCAGTTCTAGTTCAGTTCTAGTTCAGTTCTAGTTCAGTTCTAGTTCAGTTCTATTTCAGTTCCAGTTCAATTCTAAGTCAGTTCTAGTACAGTTCTAGTTCAGTTCTAGTTCAGTTCTAGTTCAGTTCTAGTTCAGTTCTAGTTCAGTTCTAATTCAGTTCTAATTCAGTTCTAGTTCAGTTCTAGTTCTAGTTCAGTTGAAGTTCAGTTCTAATTAAGTTCTAATTCAGTTCTAGCTCAGTTCTAGTTCAGTTCTAGTTCAGTTCTAGTTCAGTTCTAGTTCAGTTCTAGTTCAGTTCTAGTTCAGTTCTAGTTCAGTTCTAGTTCAGTTCTAGTTCAGTTCTAGTTCAGTTCTAGTTCAGTTCTAGTTCAGTTCTAGTTCAGTTCTAGTTCAGTTCTAGTTCAGTTCTAGTTCAGTTCTAGTTCAGTTCTAGTCAGTTCTAGTTCAGTTCTAGTTCAGTTCTAGTTCAGTTCTAGCTCAATTCTAAGTCAGTTCTAGTACAGTTCTAGTTCAGTTCTAATTCAGTTCTAATTCAGTTCTAATTCAGTTCTAATTCAGTTCTAATTCAGTTCTAATTCAGTTCTAGTTCAGTTCTAGTTCAGTTCTAGTTCAGTTCTAGTTCAGTTCTACTTCAGTTCTATTTCAGTTCTAGTTCAGTTCTAGTTCAGTTCTAGTTGAGTTCTAGTTCAGTTCTAGTTCAGTTCTAGTTCAGTTTTAGTTCAGTTCTAGTTCAGTTCTAGTTCAGTTCTAGTTTAGTTCTGGTTCAGTTCTAGTTTAGTTCTGGTTCAGTTCTAGTTAAGTTCTAGTTCAGTTCTAATTCAGTTCTTGTTCAGTTCTACTTCAGTTCTAGTTCAGTTCTACTTCAGTTCTAGTTCAATAGGCTAATCTATAGACCAGATTATTTTAAAATAATTGAAATTCTACTGTATGTTTAGAAAAAATATTATTTTTCTTTCAATAACACTATAAAAAGAGATGTTGCTTTTTTTCATAAAATTAAAAATAAAAAATAAACTAGAAAAACCAGTAACGAGTTTAAAAATAACAAAAGAAAAATATTAAAAAAATTGCAAATAAATAATATCACACTTAAAATAAAAATCACAAAAAGCAAATAATGTACATTCTCATTCATACAACAAAAAACAAACAAACTACGACGTACTTAAAAATTTTGTTGTTTTTCATATTGAATATTTTCGTTATATACTTATTTATCTTACTTTTATTAAAAAAAAAAGTTCAATGGCTTTTATGAATAATAATAATATTTAAACATTTTTTTTTTAATTTGTTAACTTGTTATAACAAACAAACAAATATTAAAACACTTATGCGAATTTACGAAAATTTAAATTTTTCTTTTATTTTCAAAATCAAAACACATTTAGTGAACGCGTCTATCTATGTTAAGACATGAAATAGAAATGTGCCATGAATTAAATGATGTGTTAATTTATTAAATTGTTTAAAATTCATTTAAATACTAAGCACGCTTGGTGTTTAAAAGGCAAATATATATGAAGTAATTAAAAGTACTTATTAAAATTCATATTAAAAATATAATAAATATAAAAAAATATGAATACGAGTAGAGAGATGACATAAGACAAATTTTATAATTAAGTATTAGTTTAAATTTAGAAATTTAATTATATAATATAAAAATTTCAATAAAACGTTAAAAGAATTGTAATTTTTAAATTTTATGGTGAAATATTAATTCACCACTAAAGGACTTTGAAGTTTTAATCCCTTCTTTTCCCATCCCTTTTAACTATCGGGTTCATTTATTTGTTTCATTTAAAATCTCTTGTTATTATTTCAAATTTATATTTTCTTGCTACATTGTGTTTTTTAATTTTCCTATCCTTTTGTAGTTTGTAGGCCTAAATACAATAGTTTAACCTTGCTGAGAAAAAAAAAAAACAAGTTTCAATTAAGTTCAAGGTGGTAATTTTCATTGCTGTCATATGCATATATTATTCATGTTTTTTAATGATAAAAGAGGAATAAATAAACCAACATATTGTAACAAGTTATAACCTTAAATATCAAGGTAATCTCACAACTGGTATCGGCAAGTAGTTTTGCCTGCAAAAGGGCCTACAAATCGTTTTTGGAGAAAAGATTTCAACAGCTTTCATAGAAATCGTTAAAATTTTTACTTAAAAGCTAGTGCTATAGAGTAAAGACTATAGTCCAGACTAGGCACTAATCTACAGTTTAAATAGACCAAACTCTAGAGTAAAAACTAATCAATAGATCTATAGTCCAGGCTATAGACAGATCTATAGTGCAGACAATAGACAGATCTATAGTGCAGACAATAGACAGATCTATAGTGCAGACAATAGACAGATCTATAGTGCAGACAATAGACAGATCTAAAGTCCAGACTATAAACTAATCTATAGTCCAGACAATAGGCAGATCTATAGTCCAGACTACAGACAGATCTATAGTCCAGACTATAAACTAACCTATAGTCCAGACTATAAACTAACCTATAGTCCAGACTATAAACTAATCTATAGTCCAGACTACAAACTAATCTATAGTCCAGGCTATAAACTAATCTATAGTCCAGACTATAGACTAATCTATAGTCCAGACTATAGACTATTCTATAGTCCAGACTATAGACTAATCTATAGTTCAGACTATAGACTAATCTATAGTCCAGACTATAGACTAATCTATAGTCCAGACTATAGACTAATCTATAGTCCAGACTATAGACTAATCTATAGTCCAGACTATAGACTAATCTATAGTCCAGACTAGACTAATCTATAGTCCAGACTATAGACTAATCTATAGTCCAGACTATAGACTAATCTATAGTCCAGACTATAGACTAATCTATAGTCCAGACTATAGACTAATCTATAGTCCAGACTAGACTATAGACTAATCTATAGTCCAGACTATAGACTATTCTATAGTCCAGACTATAGACTAATCTATAGTTCAGACTATAGACTAATCTATAGTCCAGACTATAGACTAATCTATAGTCCAGACTATAGACTAAGCTATAGTCCAGACTATAGACTAAGC